TTACTTTGTCTTTCAGCACATCAGTGATGAAGGAAAGATTCTCAACACTTTTAAAGCAGACAAAGTCATTTATTAAGATATTTTTAAACATACAGAAAGTAGAATAGACATACTGTATTAAGATATTTTTAAACATACAGAAAGTAGAATAGAATTACATACTGTATAGAAAATCTTAATTGTCCCTCTTATACCCTGAACAAAGCAATGTTAAACATGAGAGAAATACAACTCTTAAGAAAAGAAAAAGACCATAAATCTAAAAATAATATAAAAAAACTTTAAAACATTGATTAATGCGCCAGAGACTGTAGTCAGTATCATACTGTAATGATGAAGAACAGTGTCTCATGTTTAATTCACAAACATCTTTTTAAAGAGATCTGCGGATGCCACAGATCTTGATTTGCAATATTCCTTCAATGGAGTCACAAACAGAGCAAAATCAAAAATAGCTGAACTCAGAAGACATGACTGCTCTCATCTGCACATATCTGATTATAAAAACCTTGACAGTGAGGTACTTACAGACAGACAGAAGGACTTATGGATTTTTTTTTAAAATCCTAAATGCCTATTAATTCATTTGGTGCTGTTTATAAAGAACAATAAGAGTGTAAAGTCCATTTGTTGGTTCTTGATTTTAAGTTAAATAACAGACAAAAACATAACAAAAGTACAATATTATCAAATTCCATATCAAAATACATCATTACAAACAATAAGAACATTACTGTAAAAGTGATCATAACATTTATAAATCAGCGGTTTCCTTTTCAAAAAGAAAACTGAAATAAAAATTGTATTGCATTTGTCTCACTGCATATTGTTTTAATAAAGCTTTACAAAGAATAGTAACAGGCAACAGCAGCAAGAAAAAACTCTGAAGATGTTTAAAATGGAAAGAAACATGATAGTTCAGACATACATAGAATTGATGCATATTTCAACAGATGTTCAAAGCATACATAGAAATACATAAATTACAGTAAAATCAGAGGATCTAGTTGCTCTGTTATGCTGTGGGGATCAGATTCATATTCTGCTGGCCTAAGAGTGAACGATCAGTGCAAATCAACATAACGTTGATCACCTTTATCCATGATGATTTCTGGTAATTCTACTGCATTCTACTAGATTTCTCCAGTTTCTCCAGTATGTGTTTGTGCTCTGTATTCTCCTGTACTGGAACCTGTGTGTGACCTCTGTGCTGATGTCGCCATATGATGACAGAAATCACAATCACAATCACAGCCAGAATCACCAAACACACTACAACTGACACAATCCATTTTGCTACAGCTGGAAAAGGGGAAGATGAGAAGAGAGCACTTTTTTTTTTAAATGTTTTTTTCATTATCAAACTCATTGCTTGAAGATTTTGTAAAGCTCTCAACGCCTGTGTGACTTACTGTGTTGTTCAGTGTCTTCAGTTTTGTCTTTATCTGTGAAGCTCAGTTTGTCCTTTGATTCTGTACCTGATTCTAGAGGATATTGAGAGGTCAGTCGCACAGTTCAGCATCAATGTGATGTTCAAATCATGATGAATAAACCTCAGCTGTGCAAATGCTTTATAAATAATATTTCCTCAAATCTGAGCTTCTCTCACCTGTGACTGTCACTGTGATCAAGAT